CGCCCAGCCCTATTTCTTAACACTAAAATTAGACACCTTATGTTTTAATTTTATTTCTGTCCCTAAATTGATTCTACCCATGGCTTTGACCAAATGAATGGATTTTAAGCTTATTTTCTAGATCATAAAAAACTGCTTTCATCCATGTTGTCCATGTGTAGGAGTCAGCTAATGTCTAAGCAGAATTGGTCCCTTTAGACCAGGCATGGGCAAACTTGCACCCTCCAGGTGTTTTGGACTTCAACTTCCAGAATTCCTAACGTGGGTCCAAGTTTGCCCATGCCTGCTTTAGACAGATGTTGATAGCTTCCCAAAGTGGAATCTACCCAATCAACATGAAAGTCAGCACTGTTAATGGTGATACTGGAGTCCATCTTCTCCTGTCTCTCATCTCCCAACACAATTTGGAAATTGAATTTCTGAATAAGACTAGAGTCCTCTGAGCTTTGAAAATGAAAACTGACAATTTTATGTAACACTGCATATTTGATAGCCATCTTTCCCAATCTGGCGCCTTCCAGAAATTTTGGACCATTTCTCCCTTGTCCCCATCCATTGGTTATGTTGGCTGAGGCAGAGAAGTGTTGTATTCTTAAGCATGAATAACACTAGGTTGGAAAATGTTGCATTGCAAATTTAGAATGGTAAACAGTTAAAAATGGAAAAATAGATATACAATCAAGCATGAAGTGGAACTTACAGATAGAAATGATTACATGATAATACACAAAAGGTATGGATTGTACTACTTGGAGAGGTTGCTACTTTTGCATACTCTCTGGTAATTAAAAGTGAAGCTTTCAGTAGAAGGAAACAATGGCACTAGTATGAAGAAATCATCTCACTTAACACTTGACTACTGTGCCATTTGCTAAGTTCTTAATAGCTACTTCCTGGTTGTCAGGCATGATTATCATGAATTTTGACTGCCCCTTTTTGCAGGAGGTTATGGCAAATGTGGAAAATTTTAAACTAGTAACAAAAAGTCTTGGCTTCATGATTTTTGCCCACTGTAAAGCTGGCTTAATGTTTTCCATGTTGGGGAACCTACCTAGTGACTTGAATGGTTTTGGAGCTTGTGGGTGGTCCCAAATGAACCTAGGGACCACCCATTAATTTGTCCCTTTCACTTTGATGTCAGATATTTGGTTCCAGAGAAGCCAAAGATGCAGGTATTTCTGCAGCAATAAAGAATTCTGTCAACGCATCTTCCCCTCCAAAGTTTGACCTTCCTTTCTACCCTTGGAGGAGCTACTCTGTCGGTGACCCATGTTATGCCTTCCCAGGGACACAAGATTGCACTATTTAATGCATGACACAAAGGTTTTGCCAGTACTTCTGAGGGTGCATCTATACAGCAGAATTAATAGGGTTTGACAACACTCTCACTTCAATTGCTCAATGCTATGGAACTATGAGAGTTGTCGTTTCCAAGAGTGTTGGTAGATCACTCCCTGGACTGCACACTACTGAGCCATGGCAGATAAAGTATACTCAAGATACATCAATTCTACAGCGTTGGTGCACCCTCACATAAGGAGAGGGAGAAAAAAAGGAGGATACACATTTTGGTAGATCTCTTTCCATTTCAGTGTACTCCAAAATGTTTGTTTTGATAATGGCTACTAGTCATGTGCATTCACAACTTCCCTTGTTCCATTTTGTGTCCCAGCTTTTGGTGGCGGACCCGATCCATTTTTGTCTCATCCTCTCAAAATCAGGAAGTCAGATTTTTGTTTTGTTTACATTTTTCGGGGGGGGGGGGGTTCACCCATAGGCCATAAGCATCCAGTTCTATGGGTGCAGGCTTTGGGTCTACGTACCCGTGCCTGGCAGGGCCTGCAGCCAAGTGCCGAGTAAGGAGCACTCCTTACTCAATGCTCGACTGCAGGACCTGCCAGGCCCCATGCAATCCACCCCAAAGGCAGGCTCACCTGCCTTTTGTATCAATTGCATTTTCATTTCAGGAGAGATCTTTCCATTTTGTGCCATCTGAATGGACAGAACGAAATGAAAACAAGAATGAAACAAATGGGACAAATTTCAGGCCCATGACTAGCGGCTACAACTGCATGGATTTTCCAGATAGGTTTTCTTTTTTGTTGTTGTTTCTTCTTTCACCAACTTCAGTGAACAATAAAATGAAAAAAAAGTTCATATTACAAAGGAAGCAAGAAGCAAATGCTGTTGGCAATGAATCCTTTTTTTTTTCATTATTCAACTTTTGGGATACATTAAATATGCACTTACCTTCCTGCACCGTGTTATAGTTTTGTTGTGATTTTGTGTTAAAAATAATGAAGAGCCTATGGATAAATGCATTAGGCATTACAGAGCTGTAAAATATGCAATATATATTACCGTTAATTCATATAGCCAGCTTACATTTTAATAGCTTCTAAGGAGCCTTTACAATACATGCTGTGAAGGCATATTAAAACAATACACCAAAGTAGCTTAAATCCTCACAGATGCTTCAACTAGCAATAACACAACATCCAAAGCAGATCTATGGCTCTATTTTTTGGTTAATTGCTCCTATTAGGTTACTTTAGTTTTACAGAATAACTAAACAGAGTAATAATGCCACAGCATGTCTTCCTCACACTACATGTTAGAATTTGTTTGAACTCGCTCAGATGCAATAGAATATTAGATATGTTTCACCGATGGACAAATTCATCATTTTCAATTTCTCTCCATTTCTCTCTTCTCTCTTCACACCAATTTTTTCCCCATAAGTTTTGACTTAAAAAGAAGGATGTGTGAAAATTCATATGCATTTTCATGTACATTTATATACATAATTTTGTCTGATACATTGCTTTTAGCAATTCCCCCTTATATCATGCCTTTTGTATGTTTTTCATAAATATATGCATTTCTTTTTTCAGGTTTCCCCAGTATAATACATCTTTGTATGCATTCTTTCCCTTAAGAATTCTATTTCAAAATTCCAAGAACTCAAAATGGTGAAGGGTAATTATTCTCAAACTGCAAATCTGATAAATTCACATCAAAGTGCAAAATAAATTAAATTCTCCCTTATATCAGATCTTACACTCTGCTTGTGATTGTCAACACTCATGGAGATGCCATCATGATTAAGAAAGAAAGTCATTTTATAGGTTTTTGCTTCTCTCTTAGTAGCCTTGTGCCAGGGAGACCATATAACTTAATACATTTCTAGGTTCTGAAATGTCAGAAGTTTTTGACCCCAATAAATACTTTCATTCTAAACTCAAGAATTTTTCAATTATTTCTTGAGGAGAAAAACCCATACCGTGGCCGACTAACATAGGGTCGAATTCGGTATCTCTTTCACAAAAGGAAAAATGGGCAGCAAACAATGCAAAAGGTTAATAAGGAAGACAATCAGAGAGAAGCAGCTTCATTCATGTAATCCCCACACAATAGTAAAGGTTAGGAAAGGATCACTCAGAGACTGTGCTTCAGAATTAATCAACCATTCAGTGGAAAACAGGAATTGCCTCTGGAAAAAAAGAACATGGGAGGGATGATAGAATGAGGAGTAAGGAAAAACAAGTCTTTGGGGCAGGGAACCTGCTGTGGGACTATTGGAGTAAAGCTGTCAAGGTTATGTTGAAGATGCTCTTACCTTCCAATACTCTTGTCTTCAACAAAAGATTGTTATGAAATAATTCCTTATAGCTGAATCATGTGAACTCCAGCAAGGACAGACAGTTCAGTGCCATCCAGATATTTTGGACCTCAGTTCCTAAAATTTCAGCTGTGTTGACTGGACCTAATAGCAGTTGTAACTCAAAAGGCGCAAACTTGTCTGTTCCCTTGCTACAGAATGAGGTGCTCAGGGAAGGGTCAAAATGATGCATCATGTTGGCCATTCGCTCTCATTGGAAGCAGAGAATTTGGCCTAAATGAGACATGTGGAAGACCTTGAAGCAGATAAAGATGGTTGAGCATCTGAGTTAATTTTGGGTCACATTTCATCAAAATCCACAATGGGTGTTGTGTGTTTTCTGGGTTGTATGGCCATGTTCTAGCAGCATTTTCTCTTGACATTTTGCCTGCATCTGTGGCTGGCATCTTCAGAGGATCCACAATGTATGAAATTGAGCAAAAGTGAAATGGAGATATTTTCCTTTATTAAAAAAAAAACATTAAGAGATGGTACCAGAAAAGACTTTTTTCATGCAAACTCCCCTGCAACTCTTTTTTCACACCCGTATATGTATGTATATAACACACATACACAGAGATAAAATTATTTTATTATGATCATTTGGGAATTTAACAAGTTTCCATTTTATAGCTTTCTGTTTATATTAGAGTTCCTTTTCTTTAGATGTGATTTGGATGTGTTGTGTCTTCTATTTCAGTAGCAGTTATGAGGAGAGGCGGGTAACAAATATTTTTTTTCTTTCTTCCTTTTTCTCTTCCTCCTCTTCATCATAATCTTCTCCTTCACCTTCTTCAGACTTTATCTTCCAGTCTAAGGACATTATCAGAAAGGCTGCTGAAATTGCCACAAATCATGGTAAATCCAGCAGTACCCTGGGGGGGGGGGGGACACCCATCACACCCTGTCCTGCATTGCCTGGCTTAGCAGCATACCGATCCCATGGGGGAAGCATCAAATGTGCAGCTTCCACTCATTGCGTCTGGTGCAACTTCCCCTCCCAGTGTTGCCGACATGGCAGCATATGGCAGTTTCACTATAGTTTATCCACAGAGCCCTGCTAGAAGTTTTTTTGCATCATGGGATGGGAGCTGGTGGGCTCCGTGGTTAAACTATGGCTGAACTGGCATATGCCACTGAAGTAAGCCCAGTCTGATGACTTCATTAGATGTAACCTCACTCCTCTACTGTGGTCCATCCCTGAATCAGATGTACTGGAATTGAACTTTTGAGTAGATCTGTCCAGGTTTACACAATTTGTCTTCACTAGCTCCATGTTTTGAAACCTGGCCAATACTATTGCCACTAATTTGGAATATTTTGTCTCCTTGTCTTTTAGCTCACAACTGCTATGGAGGCATCATACCAAAATAGCTGCTTCTGGAGGTAAGTTGAGCATTTCATTTTCTGAATAGATGTCCAACGTAGATGTGACACTGGATATACTGAATATATCTCACTGGATATATTCAGTAGTGCAGATGGAAAGACTATCATATAGGATGCTCAAGGAAAAAGCTGCATCTGCAGTGAGTTTCTGGGAATGGAAAATCCATGTAGATGAGACTCAATTTGTGTCGTGGTCCAAATCCATTCTAGCTGTTGCAGTATTTTTTTTTCATTGTCTTCAGTGGATAGCACTGGCTTCTTTTTTTTCTTGATTTTATAACTGCCCACAATAAATTGTCTGATCAAGTATAAAGCAAAGAAAGTTTTATATTATACCATAAGTATCTTAGAAAGTGCTAGATGGAAAGAGAGGAGGAAATACACGTCTCTCAGACCACAGCAGACAGTGCAAAACCAGTGGGAATAACAGCCGAAGAGATAAAACAAGATCTGGAAAATCAGCAGTAACTAGGGAAAAGGATGCATGAATTGAGTCACTCTGCCATATTGGAAAGTTTTCCTGTTCTGATTGTTTGACCATTGCTACCTGCTTTTTCCTCACATTCCACTGTTTATTTATTTTTGGGGGAGGGGGGGAGTTGTTGTATACTGCCGCAATGGGGTGTGTGCCCTTGTGACTTTTGGATTCATGAGGCATCTAGAAAAACAGAAGTCAATAACACATGCTTTCACCTTCTGACTATCTTTCTTAGTAGATCACTGCTTCATCAAATAGGAATAGTAGAACATTGAAGAAATGCACGAGGAATCTAGTTTTTGCAGTATTCATATACAAACTGATTTTCCACAGTAATGTGGGGGCAGCACTTAGTAACCATTGGTTTCTGAGAGTTTCTGAATTTTCTGAAGCATTTCACAACTCTAAAGCCACTAGAAAATATGTATTTTAAGTGAATATGTATTTTAAAATGGGAGCATTTGCACATAGGTAAAAATAAAGGTTTCTCCTGATATTAAGTGTAGTTGTGTCCTACTCTGGGAGGTGGTGCTCATCTCCATTTGTAAGCCAAAGAGCCAACATTGTCTGTAGATGCCTCCTAGGTAATGTGGCCAGCATGACTGCATGGAACATCAGTACCTTCCCACAGAAGCTATATCTATTGATCTACTCACATTTGCATGTTTTTGAATTGCTAAGTTGGTAGGAGCTGGGCTAACAGCAACCCAGTCCCCAGATTTGAACCACCGACCTTTCAGTCAGCAAGTTCAGCAGTTCAGTGGTTTAGCCCTCTGTGCCACATATCTCAATGAAATTGACTATACCTACATTCTTATTTAAATACTAGTTTCAGCATCATTCTTGTGCCATTTCTTTTTCTAACAGAGATTAATTTGAAACTGGAACAAGAACTAAGGCTGGAAACAAATTATACTTGGGGCTATGCAGAGGAACTGTTCCTATATAAGCTGAGGATCGATTTTGGGATCAGAATCGTTGATTTTGATATGACCTGTTCTACTCTACACAGAGAAGGGGATGGTCCGGTGTTATATATATATATATATATATATATATATATATGAATTAAAATGCAGTACTGACCTGTGGCTAAGTTGACTCAGGATTTTTGGAATGATTTTTAATTGCAATTTCTAGTCTTATATATGTGGATATATAGTAATTACGAGGCAACATCCAAAATGCATGTAGATATAGATATATACTCCAGCAAAGGATCACCGCCTTGTCGGGGCGCTGGAGCTTGAGCACCTCAATGATGTCATGAGCGAAACCGTGAAGGGACACCCAAGACGGGACGGTTGTGGCAGAGAGGTCAGACCAAGCGTGATCCCTGGGGAAGGCAATGGCAAACCACTCCAGTATCCTTGCCAAGAAAACTAAATGGACCAGTACAACCAGAGGTATGTCGGTATGCCATTGGAAGATGGGACTCCCAGGTCGGAAGATGGCCAAAATGCTACTGGGGAGGAGCAGAGGATAAGTTCAACTAGCCCCAGATGTGTTGACGCAGCTAGCTCAAAGCCGAAAGGAAGGCTAGCGGCCGACGGTACTGGAGGTGAACGACGAATCCGATGCTCTAAAGATCAACACACCATAGGAACCTGGAATGTAAGATCTATGAGCCAGGGCAAATTGGATGTTGTTATTGGCGACATGTCAAGACTAAAGATAGACATTCTGGGGGTCAGCGAACTGAAGTGGACTGGAATGGGCCACTTCACATCAGATGACCACCAGATCTACTACTGCGGACAAGAGGAACATCGAAGAAATGGAGTAGCCTTCATCATTAATAAGAAATTCGCTAAAGCAGTGCTTGGATACAACCCAAAAAATGACAGAATGATCTCAATTCGAGTGCAAGGAAAGCCTTTCAACATTACAGTGATCCAAATATACGCCCCAACCACAGCTGCTGAAGAAGCAGAAGTAGATCAGTTCTATGAGGATCTGCAGGACCTACTGGATAATACACCAAAAAGAGACATTATTTTCCATACAGGAGACTGGAATGCCAAGGTGGGAAGTCAAATGACAACAGGGATCACAGGCAAGCATGGTCTGGGAGAACAAAATGAAGCGGGACGCAGGCTGATAGAATTTTGCCAGGAAAACTCGCTGTGTATAACGAATACTCTCTTCCAACAACCTAAAAGACGGCTTTATACATGGACCTCACCAGATGGTCAACACCGAAATCAGATTGAACTACATCCTTTGCAGCCAAAGGTGGCGGACATCCATCCAGTCGGTGAAAACAAGACCTGGGGCTGACTGTAGCTCAGATCACGAACTTCTTATTGCCCAATTTAGAATAAAACTAAAGAGATCAGGGAAAATACACAGACCAGTTAGATATGATCTCACTAACATGCCTAGCGAATATACAGTGGAAGTGAAGAACAGATTTGAAGGACTAGATTTAGTAAACAGAGTCCCAGAAGAACTATGGACAGAAGTCCGAGACATTGTTCAGGAGGCGGCAACAAAGTACGTCCCAAAGAAAAAGAAAAACAAGAAGGCAAAATGGTTGTCTGCTGAGACACTGGAAGTAGCCCAAGAAAGGAGGAAAGCAAAAGGAAACAGGGATAAGGGGAGATATGCCCAGTTAAATGCAACAATTCCAGAGGTTAGCCAGAAGAGATAAGGAACTATTTTTAAATAAGCAATGCATGGAAGTGGAAGAAGACAACAGAATAGGAAGGACAAGAGACCTCTTCCAGAAAATTAGAAACATTGGAGGTAAATTTCAGGCAAAAATTGGTATGATAATAAACAAAGATGGCAGGGACCTAACAGAAGCTGAAGAGATCAAGAGAAGGTGGCGAGACTATACAGAAGATCTGTATAGGAAGGATAATAATATTGAGGATAGTTTTGACGGTGTGGTGAATGAATTAGAACCAGACATCCTGAGGAGTGAGGTTGAATGGGCCTTAAGAAGCATTGCTAACAACAAGGCAGCAGGAGACGACGGGATCCCAGCTGAACTGTTTAAAATCTTAAAAGATGATGCTGTCAAGGTGATGAATGCCATTTGCCAGGAAATATGGAAAACACAAGAATGGCCATCAGACTGGAAAAAATCAACTTATATCCCCATACCAAAAAAGGGAAATGCGAAAGACTGCTCAAACTTCCGTACAGTGGCCCTTATTTTTCATGCCAGTAAGGTAATGCTCAAGATCCTGCAAGGAAGACTCCAGCAATACATGGAGCGAGAGTTGCCAGATGTTCAAGCTGGGTTTAGAAAAGGTAGAGGAACGAGAGACCAAATTGCCAATATCGGCTGGATAATGGAGAAAGGCAGGGAGTTTCAGAAAAACATCTACTTCTGCTTCATTGACTATTCTAAAGCCTTTGACTGTGTGGATCATAATAAATTGTGGCAAGTTCTTAGTGGGATGGGCATCCCAAGCCACCTTGTCTCTCTCCTGAGGAATCTGTACAAGGACCAAGTAGCAACAAGAACTGACCACGGAACAACAGACTGGTTCAAGATTGGGAAAGGCGTACGGCAAGGCTGCATCCTCTCACCCAACCTTTTTAACTTGTATGCAGAACACATCATGCGATGTGCGGGGCTGGATGAATGCAAAGCTGGGGTAATGAAAATTGCTGGAAGAAACATTAACAACCTCAGATATGCAGATGACACCACTCTGATGGCCGAAAGCGAGGAGGAGCTGAGGAGCCTTCTAATCAAGGTGAAAGAAGAAAGCGCAAAAGCCGGGTTGCAGCTAAACATCAAAAAAAACCCAAGATTATGGCAACAAGAATGATTGACAACTGGAAAATAGAGGGAGAAAACGTGGAGGCCGTGACAGACTTTGTATTTCTAGGTGCAAAGATTACTGCAGATGCAGACTGTGGCCAGGAAATCAGAAGACGCTTACTTCTTGGGAGGAGAGCAATGTCCAATCTCGATAAAATAGTAAAGAGTAGAGACATCAGACTGGCAACAAAGATCCACCTAGTCAAAGCCATGGTATTCCCTGTAGTCACCTACGGATGTGAGAGCTGGACCTTAGGGAAGGCTGAGCGAAGGAAGATCGATGCTTTTGAACTGTGGTGTTGGAGGAAAGTGCTGAGAGTGCCTTGGACTGCGAGAAGATCCAACCAGTCCATCCTCCAGGAAATAAAGCCCGACTGCTCATGGAGGGAAAGATACTAGAGACAAAGTTGAAGTACTTTGGCCACATCATGAGGAGACAGGAAGCCTAGAGAAGACAATTATGCTGGGGAAAGTGGAAGGTAAAAGGAAGAGGGGCCGACCAAGGGCAAGAGGATGGATGGCATCCTTGAAGTGACTGGATTGACCTTGAAGGAGCTGGGGGTGGTGACGTCCGACAGGGAGCTCTGGCGTGGGCTGGTCCATGAGGTCACGAAGAGTCGGAGACGACTGAACGAATGAACAACAACAACAACATAGATGTTCATAAAATAAACTATGTCAGAATTATTATATATATATATATATATATATATATATATATATATATATATATATATA